CTCTTGCCCTCTAAAATACACAAAAATACCCCATTTTTGTTTGTCAGTTTGGTATATAAGTTCTTATATATAACTAAAGATAATGATAGTCCTTAGAATGAGCGGGGAGAAAAACTCCACATGCAGCTTTGGCAGATTATGCATCTCTTCTTGCATTTCTGTCTTTGTCTTTACTAACAGCTGGGTTTCTGAGAGTTAACCTAAAAATCAGATGGAAGGAACTGCATTCTGCTTACATGTGTGCCTTTAAAAAAATAATAATAATAATACATGATTTTAAAAAAACCTCCCGGCCAGAACTAGGCAAACAGTCCTTGATGAGCAATCCGGGGTAACCTGACTTTCACCATGTGCTCCTGACCCTTCTGGCCAGTTCTGCTGCTCAGGCCACTTGGGCTCAGCCAGCAGGTGTCTGTTATCACTGGCCTCTTTTAAATGATTCTAAGTATTCCAGGTTGTTGCTGTAATGACAATAACCGAGCCTCCCTAATTCCCTCCCCTCGGTATGACTCTATCTCCGACCACACGCAGAACCTTGGAGCTGCCATTCACTTGGTCATTTGTAACCAGCAAGCATCTTTTAAGCTAAACTGTCTGAATTACAAGACTGACCACGTCCCTCCCTTCTTTACCATTGTTCTCAGGCACCATGAACAAAGTTAAATGTAACTCTCAGAGAAGAGGACATATTTACCGTATTAAAAACTTGGATGAAGCATTGTATTTGGATTATATAAAGAACCCTTACAAATCAGTAATTTTTTAAAAGTCAAAGAAGCTAACTTAAAATCGGCAAAGGACATGAACAGGCAACTCTTGGAGAAGGAAATCCCAGGATCCAATAAATCTGAGAAAGTTGTTCAGCCTCCCCAGCAAACCACAATTAGACACCATTCTTTTCTACTCATCTGATGGCTAAAGAATTATAAGGTTGATGGAATTAAGTGTTAGTAAGAATATGAAGAAATGGTTCTCTCCATTTGGCCCTCCTAGAAGCGATCGTCCCTGGAAACAGCAACTAGATGCTGGAGAATTACCACTCCCCAACTGTGCATCGTCTTGACAGAAAATCAAGGTGCTCTTTCCTGTCACCACAGAAGTTGACAGGGTCCCAGGAAGCAGTTGTCACTCTACCCTCCCACTCCTTGTGACATGAGGTCCAAATGCTCCCAGCGCTAGTGTGGCGTAAGTCAAGGCCCAAAGCAAAGCTTGGGTTTCATTCATCTATTTGTGGTCAGCTGGGTGGCGGCGGAATGGACTCAACTGGTAGAGAGACCCGGGCTCAGCAGGTCATTGGCCTTCCTCTCTATCCGGTGAGCCACCCCGCAGTCTGCCAATAAACTGCCCTTTTAGCCGAAGCTTGCCAGAGTTGGTGTCTGCAGTTTAACTAAAAGCTCCTTCCTCACTGATATCCCCAGTGACCCAGCAATTCAGCATCTCAGAATCTGCCCCACGGAAACACATACAAGCACGCAATGGCAAGATGGTCATGGCAGTAATGCCTGTAAAGGCAACAAAGTAGACACACACTATTAGGTTGAACCACATGAAAATTCCATTTTATGGACTAAAAGCTGTTTAATGTCAGAAATGTCAAATAGTTCAACCTCGGTCAGGAAAAGGGTAAATGAACTCTGGTACTTTCATATTTTATAATGCTCTGCAACAATGAAAATGAGATAGATCTGTATTTGTTGCTATGGGAAATGCTCCAAGACATACTATTCTGTGGGGAAAAAAAAAAGTTCGAGAACAATAAATATAGAGGCGCCTGGGTGGCTTAGTCGGTTAAGTGGCCAACTCCTGATTTCGGCTGAGGTCATGATCTCAGGGTCTTTTTTTTTTTTTTTTTTTTTTTAAGATCGTGAGATCGAGTCCCACGTTGGGCTCCATGCTCAGTGGGGAGTCTGCTTGAGGATTCTCTGTCTCCCTCTGCCCCACCCCCTGCTTGAGTGTTCTCTCTCTCTCTCTCTCAAATAAATAAATCTTTTTTTAAAAAGAACAATATTTTTCAATTTTACAAAACAAAATATCTTTCTTTTTTTTTTTTTAAAGATTTTATTTATTTGACACAGAGAGACACAGCGAGAGAGGAAACACAAGCAGGGGGAGTGGGAGAGGGAGAAGCAGGCTCGCCGCTGAGCAGGAAGCCCGACGTGGGGCTCAACCCCAGGACCCTGGGATCATGACCTGAGCCGAAGGCAGATGCTTAATGACTGAGCCACCCAGGTGCCCCAAAACAATATCTTTCTAGTAGATATATATACATAAAAATGCAAGAAGGTTCTGGAAAGTTCTAGAAGGATATACACCCATTGATAACAACTGTCATCCAAGAAGGGGACTGAGAATTAAAGGAGGGAACAAAAAACTACTTAAACTTGGTCTGTGTTGTTTTGATTCTTTTACAGTGAGAATAGATTCATATATTATTTAGCAAGTATAATATATAAAAATAAAATATTTAAAATTTAAAAATCAATGTATATTTAAAATAAATTCTTCAGTTGTCATTATCTAGAGTAGGAGTTGGCACACTGTGGCCCTATTTTTGCAAGTAAAATTTTATAGGAATATAGCATCTCATTTGCTCACGTGTTGTTAACGCTGCTTTCTAGATACAGGCAGAGTTCAGTAGTTGCAACAGAGGCTGTGTAGCCCGCAAAACCAAAGTATTTACTATCTGGTCCTTCAGAGGGAAACTGCAGGCCTCTTCTCTAGAGCTGTGATGCTCAAGCCTGGGCAGACAGGAGAATCCCCTGGGGCATCTTTAAAAAATACTAAGACCCAGGCTTCACCCTCACGAAGAATGAAGTCAGGGTGTGGCTTGGGCATGAATTGGTTTTTTAAATTTTCCCAGGTGTTGCTCGGTGCAGCCAGGCCCAATTGCTCTGATCTTTAGGATTAATTCCAGACTCCTCAGGGTGGTTTAAAAAGCCCTTCGTGACCGGACCTGCCTCTCCAAGCTCATCCTCCCACGCCCACACCCATTTCCTCTGCTCCATTATACAGAACTCACCAGGCCTGCACTTGTCTGTTTTTCTGCCTGGAATGTCCTTCCTTCCTGTCTGCCTGGAAAATGCTAAATCATCCTTTGGGTCTCGGCAGTAGGATGGTCTCCCTGGGAAGCTGTCTAGACTCCTGCTTGGTGTATCACACTAAAAGGCATGTAGTGGTTCACCTGTCTGTCTCACATGTGAGGGAGGGGTCCTGTTTCCATTAATGGATATTTCAGAGGAGGACCTCAGAAAACATTCGCTGGATTGAATTAAACCTTGAAAAAATTAAACTTAAATGCCCCAAATCCAGCTCCATGAATGTATTTTGAGGTCCTCTGTGTGTCAAGAAAACCAGCAACAATTTAAAAAACTGGATGTGCTTATTAGAGAGAAGCTAAATGATTCCTGATTCCTTTCTCTATCACTGAGTATCCCAAATGCTGTAGCCTGAAGTTTAAGGATCTGGAACTATAAGAGTCCTAGGAGATAAAAACAAGAGAGATGTCAATACTGAGCCTGACCTTACCCTTAGATAAAACTCTAAAGGACTAGTATAGAGAGATACCCAATTATTCACTTGAGAAGACCAAATTCTACTTTTTTTTTTCCCCAGTTGGTGTTCTGCTTTGTAAACTGATTGGATTTATGGCTTTCTGGCTGAGGTTATTTTGGATGCATGCAAATTTTCAATTGCATTTGCTTCCTTTCTGATTATGAACTCAAATGGACAAGTTGCCCTTTTCTTGCCTCCTGCTTAATTGGTTTCTGTCAGGAACCTGAGATGCTGGGCCATGGGTGCCATCCAAATAAAAATACATTGTGATTGTCTTGGGAGGGAGGCATAGGATAAACTAACGATTAATCCCCCCTGTTAGTTCAAATCACATGGCCATTGTTTCAAGTTTTCATTTCCAAAAGATGAAAAACAACTCGTTTCAATTCTGCTGGGCTAATTGGCAGGCAGATAGGCTTTCTCACATGGTGGTGATAATATGTGGATATTAAAATGTGGAGTTGATTAACTTCTGGGTTTGAAAGGAGGAAAGACAGACCCTGGTCAGTGGTCTTATATTTTAAAATATGGATGCACTTATACCATGAAGCTGAAGGCAGCAGAAGCTTCTAGAATGCTAAGCCACAAATAAATCCTGAAAGTAATGATCATCTACAGCATTTATCAGCAAATATTTACTAAGCACCTACCAGATCGCTGTGTTACATTGGAGAATTTTAAAAACTAGAATTGAATAGTCCTTGCACTATAGTTGATGATACAGGGCATACACATAAAATGCCAGCAATCTATTGCCAGAGATCTCCTTGTTAGTAAGAAAGCGATCTTTGTGTGCTATCAATTTGATATCCAAAGTTCCTAAAGCAGCTTTTTACAAACACCTTCTGGTAGTCTCCCTTGCGTCTGGTCAACTATTAATCTTGGACTCAGAGACCAAGAATAGCAGATATATTAGTTTTCTGTGACTGATATTAAAAATTCCCACATACTTGGTGGCTTAAAACCACAGATACTTGTTCTCCCTCAATTTTGGAGGCCAGAAGTCCAAAATCAGTATCACTGGGCAGAAATCAAGATGTTAGTTAGCAGGCCTACACTCCTGGAGGCTCCAGGAAAGAACCCACTCTCGCCCCCTTCCAGTGTCTCACATCCCTTGGCTTGTGGCCACATCACTCTGATGTCTGCCTCTATGCTTACATCACCTTCCCTTCTGTGTGTCAAATCTCCCTCTGCCTCCCATTTCTAAGGGTACATGTGGTCACCTTTAGGGATAATCTCCCCATCTCAAGATCTTTAACTTAATCATATGGGCAAAGATCTTGTTTCCATATTAGGTAAGGTTCACAGGTCTCAGGAACGAGAATGTCAATGTCATTTGGGGGGCCACGTTCCAGCCTAATCCAGAGAGTTCAGTGGATGCCACTCTTCACCCTTTCTCTACTAGAAGATTTTATTTGTTTCAGCAATTTTTCTGTCCCTAGCTCCAGTACCCGTGGCATAAAATACCCTCCAAACCGACAGCCAGATGGGAAAAGAGGCAACGTCTGAGAATCCAAGTCAAGTTGATGGTCAGTCCTCCAGTGATAACAAGAGAACAAAGGCTCAGCTGGGACCAGTGACCAGCCAGCCCAATGGGCCTTGCCTCCCAGGAAAGAAGACGAGACACACGGAGAGGAGACAGGAAATAATTATTCCAAGAGATGAAAGATGAAGCCAGAGGGAGTAAGTTATCAGAGGAGGAAGCTCAGCAACCCCGCCTTCAGGCTGGGCTGAGAAACTTGACCTGGGGACCAGGGAGAAGGGACTTGAGGGGTTAAAAATTTTTAAAGCACAAATAACTGCTTGGGGAAGATTTCAAGGATGTTATGAGATTAGAGAAAACAGGAAATGAAAAGCCCCGCAGACTGCTTGGGAACCAGAGGCCCCCCTTCCCCCATTCCGTCTCTGAGGAATTAAGTGCAGGAACATGCAGACGTCATGTGAACCCAAGGGGGGCCTGGCTCTGCTGAGCAGTTTTCATTCCATATAAATAGCATCCCCTGAAATGCCTCTGCTGCAGATGGTGTTATAAATGGTCTGGGTGGATTTTATGAAATGGTCATGGGCAGGCCTGGTACATCTCAAAGAAAATGAGTTCCAGAATCTACCTGAGACCGCTTGTTTTGTTTGTTTTGTTCTTCATCTCAGAAACAGACGCATACTTTTTTAATCTGGAGGGTGTGTTTGGGAGCACATAGTTTTCTGTATTTGTTTTCTAGTGCTGTCTTAATTTCCACAAACTGGGTAGCTTTTAACAACAGACATGTATTGTGCCACGGTGCTGGAGATCAGAAGTCTGGAACCACAGGGTCAGTGGGGTTGGTTCCTTTAGGAGACTCTGAGGGAGAATCTGTTCATGCCTCTTTCCTAACTTCTAGTGGTTGCTGGCAATCCTTGGCGTTCCTTAGCTTGTAGATGCATCGCTCCCATCTCTGTCCCTGTCCTTATGCAGCAATTCTCCCTGTGGGTCTCTGTGTACAAATTTCCCTCTTACAAAGACACCAGTCATTGTCTTAGGGCACTGCCTGACCCAGCATGATCTCATCCTAAACTGAGCAGATCCACGAAGACCCTATTTTCAAATAGGATCACATTCACAGGTACCAGGGGTTAGGGTATATCAATACATCTTTTGGGAGGACACAACTCAACCCACAACACACTCTCCAGGGTAGTCTAATCCAAACCAAAGATGTTTGTGTGACCTGGCTGGGGATGCTGTGGGCCTGGAGGCAAGAAGCAGCCATGTGCTCAGGGTAGGTGTGATAAGTTTAAAAAGAGATGAGGTCCCAGGATAATGGATGTGGGAGAACCTGGTGGGCCATGGCAAGAGATCTGCAGAAATAGCCAATCAGCTGTCTCCTAGGACCAAAGAAACATAATACGACCTCAGTGTCTCCTTTTGATAGAGTTGCTATATGTATTCTGGTCATCTGCTCATTAAATTATATACATATACGCCAAGTGCCTATGGGGTTATAGGTCAAGGGGAGAGCATCTGATGGCATATATACCAAGTGCCTATATGAAAGAGCATAAACCGCAAGCCTTCGCTTCCAGGAGCCCTTCTTCCAGAGAAAAGACAGGACAGGGCAAGAGACATGAAATCACTATTCTAGAACACACACAAGGCCAGGAGGAGTAAGTGCCCACAAAGAACAACCCAAAGGGATATATGGATATATGGGTCCATCTACATCTAAATTCTATAAATCCACCATTCCACACTATGGTCCGATATTTTATTTTATTTTATTTTTTTTAAAGATTTTATTTATTTGAGAGAGAGAGAATGAGAGATAGAGAGCACGAGAGGGACTCGATCCCGGGACTCCAGGATCATGACCTGAGCCGAAGGCAGTCGCTTAACCAACTGAGCCACCCAGGCGCCCCATATGGTCCGATATTTTAAAAACATAGCAAGACAAACAACGCGATGTGGGGGGCATAGAATGGAAAGTGGTGATAGCAAAAAAGGATAGGGCAAACAACAGGAAATGTGGTCGCTGAGCTGTGCGGCCAAACTAGTAAAAGTGAGCTTCCTGCAAATCTCTATGAGTTTCCTATGGCTGCTACAACAAATGACCAGAACTTTGTGGCTTTGTTCTGGAGTTTAGAAGTCCAAAATGGGCTTAACAGGGTGTTGCGGGCTGAACGGAATATTTCCCCCAACATTCATTTGTTGCCCTAACCTTCAGCATCTCAGCCTGTGACTACCCTTGGAGTTAGGATAGCCAAAAAAAGGTGGTTGGGCACCTGGGTGGCTCAGTCTGTTAAGCATCCGACTCTTGATTTTGGTTCAGGTCATGATCTCAGGTCATGGGAGTGAGCCCCGTGGTAGGCTCGGCACTGAGTGTGGAGCCTGCTTAGGACTGTCTCCCTCGGAGTCCCTCTGCCCCTCCCCCCCATCTCTCTCAAAATAAAAAAAGAGGTGATTAAGTGAAAACAGGGCTGTTAGGGTGGGGCCTAATTCCATCTGACTAGTGTCCATATACACAGATATTAGTACATACAGAGTGACACCAAGGAGAAGGTGTCATCAGCCATCTGCAAACCGAGGACAGAAGTCTCAGAGGAAACCAACACGCCCAGCACCTTGATACTGAACTTCCAGCCTCCAGAACTGTGAGAAAATTAATTTCTCTTCTTTAAGTCCCCCAGTCTGTGTACTTTGTTACAGGAGGCCTAACAAACTAATACGAGGGGGTTGAGTTTGTGTCTACTTTTAGTAACTTGTCTGACTTATGTTTTTACCAGCCATTACCAGTAAATGGCCCTATTTTCAACTAACCATCACAATTATCAAAATTCATACAAGAAGCTTCCTTGAAATTCAGATTTTTAGGTTCAGCTCCTAGAGATTCAGCAAGCAGTTGGGTGGGGCTTCCACAGTGGTGGTAAGTGTCTAACAAGCTGCTCTCTACCCCAAACAAGAATGTGTATATGCACAATATAGAGAGATTATTATAAGTTATACTGATGTAAAAGATGTGTCGCACTCTGTATTAAGGTGCTATTTATAATGTAATGGCCATAGACCTAAGACTCTTTCAAGTTGAATTTGTACTTGTAACATTTTCTCCATCAATTTCTTAGACATCCAGTCAACAAAAACACTAAATCAAGCCCCAATCTGGAGTGATTGCCAACTTCCGTGGCGAATATACTTCAGCCACAGCTGGCCTCCAGCTCCCAGCCTGACGGTCCTGAACCTGGGGCTGGCAGACGATGTGCCCAGCAGCATGTTCCACCCTTTCTACCATACGGGCGCAGCCGACACGAGTGACTTCAAGAGTAATGAGTAGTAAAAGAACAAGGAAGCGGTGGATTGTGAGTATTCATTACTTTTGTTCTTACCGTAATTTGTCAATTTCAGTGATTCAACCCTTAACTGCGTTTGACAACCAGCTTGAAAATTTAACAAATGGCTCTTGCGAGCCCGTGCAGACCAGCTGGAGCAGACCCCCGGGGCAAAGGAATCAAGACATCTTTAAAACTGCTGCAGATTGTCTGAGTTTGAGAAACACAGCCTCCCCAACTCATAGGTGGGGAAAGTCGTTTAGCAAAGTAACGTCGCTTGGGTGAGGCCAGGCACACAGCTGGTTCTGGACTGATGCGGGCGTCAGGACCACCAGCCTAGCGCAGTGTCCATGGGTCAGCAGCCTGTCTCTAAAATATGCCTCGTTTACCAGAAAAGTACAATGAGGAAGGAAGCATGTGGGAAGGTGCAGGTGGTCGGATAGAGAGCGAAAGGAGAAGAGAGAGGAGCGATCACCCCGGATGAAGGACATCCCAGACGGGGGACCGCCTCTGGATTAGAAATGGGTGCATGTAAGGAGGAAGGCAGATAATGCCAGAGTGCTCAAGGAGAAAGGCCACTGAGAGGGGGGGGAAATGATTAGCCAGGAGGGAGGAGGCCAGAGGTCTTTTAGGGGGCGAAGTTTGTATGTGATATGGGACTGAATGTAGACTGCAGGGGATTATGGAGTTTAAAAGCAAAATAAGAAACAAACAAACAAACAAACAAAAAAACGAAAGGAGGAGAGGGGCCAGAATACTGGCCTGAGGACTTCAGCAACAAAGGGGGATAAAATCAGATGGTAACCCAAGAGGGTGGCAAAAACCAAAGCACACAAATAGTGTTTGATGGATTTTGTTCCCTTTAAGATGATGGACATGTGTTGCGGAAAGCAACTGGAAAAGGATGATGGAAAGGGGGAGATGGAACTCAGCTTAGACTCCCGGCACCAAACTTCTCCCTCCAGCCACATCCACACCCGTGAACGTAGCTCCCCCACCCCACAGCCGGAGTCCCCACCCACGGCTGGCTCTACGGTCAGTCTCTCCCCTGCCCCAAACAGCCACGACTCCAGCTCCCTCCTACAACACCAAACCTCCCTCCCTGAGTTTCTGGAACCCTCTCTCCCCGTTGTATTCTGAGGTCCGGCTGCTGTCCTCTCTGGGCTTCACAGGCTGGGGATGGAGCTTTAACACACAATTACATGACATTTAATGTGTTAAAAAGACACAAATAAGAAACACCTATGTTCCTATCGTCCAGCTTAAAAAGTGAAACGTGACTCATCATTTGAGATCTGACGGGACCCCAATCACACCCCCAGCCTGACCAGCTGGTCCCACTCCGAGGCGACGTCTACCTCAATTTGGAGATCATCATTCTCACGCGTCTCTTTCCACTGTCTGTGTGACATACACCTGTCTCCCTGAGCAACACAGCACCTTAATTTCATGTTTGGCCCCTTAATGTCCCGCATGTACTCTTCTACAACTTTCTTTCTTAATGTTCTTTCTGCATATCCCCCTCCACATTGGCCTGTGTGGTTCTGCTTTATTCCTTTTTGCCATGTTTTTTCTTGTTTCTCTCACTGCTTATTTTAGGCAGTGATTGTAAGTGCAAGCTTGGGAATCCTATGACCTGGGCTCAAATCCTATCTCTCCCACTTATTTTGGGCTGTGGTTCCCTTTTCTCATTTATAAAATAGAGAAAACTCCCTGTTCATAGTGGGGCTGCTGGAACTCAGTGGGACAACCCTAGCGTAGGCTGGGAGCCGTCCTCCATGTAAAAGTGCTCTCTAAATATTGACTCATTTTTCCATCCACATGAGTGTCAGGAAAACCACGCTGAGAAGGAAGGTCAGAACCACGCTCTGTGCTCAAAACTCTCCAGCAAAATGTCAAAGCAACAGTGTCAAGTGTTTTCTGGTGCTTTAGAAAGCAAATGAATTACAACAACTACAGGTAGTATTCCTCTATTAAATTAACTAGTGGTTATCTATCCCACTTATATAAATCATCTGATTCTTTCTTGGACCATTCACCTTTGGGAACCTTTTATCACTGAAAAAAAAAAAAAAAGATTTTCAATTTCCAGGCCTCTACCGACAGAATATTGTTGGAACATGACCAGAGTAACTTGTAAGGCAAATAGAGTGTCAGCATGGCTGTGTGACAAACAATGACAACGTGCGCCACCACCTCATCACCAGCGGTCTCAGCCAGTCCCTGAACCCTGGGGTTTTCTTGGCCAGTGTGTTTGGCCCGGGTTTGTCAGCATGTTCCCTGTTTGTTTTCAGCAAGTGTCCTAACGGAACATCATCAATTCTAAAATGGGATTTGAAGATGGCCATTGAATTAGTTGGATTTATATGTTTTCCAATGTCTCATTAAATATCAGGACGTGTAATCCTGTGTTGAGTAGCAATTGCTTCCAATCGTGTGTGCTATTTTGAATTCCCCCATATTAGATCAAACCTTTTGTCTCTCAGGGGCGCCTGGGTGGCTCAGCCGCTTAAGCGGCTGCCTTCGGCTCAGGTCGTGATCCCAGGGTCCTGGGATCGAGTCCCGCATCGGGCTCCCTGCTCAGCGGAGAGCCTGCTTCTCCCTCTCCCTCTGCCTGCCTCTCTGCCTGCTTGTGCTCTCTCTCTCTCTCTCTCTCTGTCAAATAAATAAATAAAATCTTTAAAAAAAACAAAACTTTTGTCTCCCTATATGTTGTGTATTTGCTACTGTTTTCCAAAACAAAATAAATTAGTCATGCGTTCAAAAGCAAATGGAAATCGCGAGGATGGTTTTTCTGGCTTTGGAAAGAGTTGCGTTTTTACGTTGCTTCTTGTTAGTGGTTTTCTTCAGCATCCACAGTGGATCATTCTCCAGGAGAGGTTACTCCGCTGAAAAAGAATCTGATTTCCTGCTCCTCTCTGGCAGGAAGGTATGTGTCCCTTTAGTTGTGAGAATAATTTGGGGAAACTAACAAAAAATAAATTATGGCGGCCTCTGACATGCAAAGAGCTTTGACTAGAGTCAAACTTCTTCCGATGTGGGCCAGGGCCTTCACCAACACACTCCTCAGAATTTATTGTCAAGTACATAATGGGTAAAACTTGCTCCCTAAATAATGAAGTAATTCATTATCAAAAGCAGACTAAACACCTAGAAAAAGAAATCAGTACGTTATCTCATACAACAGTAAATGCTACCAACTTCGATAATAGTAAACAGCATCTTACAATTTATAAACAGTTCTCATCTCATTAAGAGGTTGGTCCTCAGGAGATTCCTTCTGGCTAGAATTAAATACCACTTCCTCTCTTGCTCTTGTGCAATAAAAATTGCTCCTCCCTCCTTGAGCCCTGGAGCAATTTGTAAACTGAGGCTCATCTTGCCTTCCCTCTTTGGTTCTGTGTTTTCAATCACCAAGAGTTTTTCTAGAATCCTCCTGGCCCAAAGCTCAGATTGCCCTGTGTTCACCTACCCAACAGGACAGAAAAACCTACTTACTTCTTAGAGCGTATTCTTTGGGCTCCACTGAATTCAAATCGGAAAGGAATTCATCGGTGTCTTGCATGCATTTGAGAGAAATGTTTCCTGCAGGCAACACAAAAGGTAATTGAAACAGAAAAGACAGAAGACAAAACAATAAAGCCAGGACCATCATTGTCCCTTAACCTGTCAGGATAAAACTCCCCTCTTAGACACAGAGCCTTATATTTATGAAACTCTCATCTCTAATATGCTAGGGGAAAATGTGACATGGCTCACTCCGTAACATGCAGAGATAAACTGTGTGTCCTCAGCCACCTGCAAAGCAGCTGAGATGAACAAACCATGGAAACCGATTTATACACAACTTGTGACTGTTCACTAAACTGGCGCTGTGAATGTGGGGGCCGCTGACCACCTGGCTTCCTTTAGCCATGCAGATTAACATTGCCGCCTACCACGGATAGGCTGGATTTTTCCCTAGCTAGATGGTCTTGTGTATATCTCTGGGTTTAAAAGATATACAGAGGATGTTAGGTGGCAATAGTTGGTTTTTTCCAAGAATCATTATGAATCCGACCTATGAAACATTCAGATAAATCATAAGCAAAGAAGGGCTTCTTCGTGATCATCTGGATATCTTATGCATCTGTGAATGTGTCCTCTGGCCTTGAATGTGATCACGGAGGCGTGGGAGTAATGAACTCCCCCACGGAAAGAGGCAGCTCTGCCGTAGGACAAATAAGTTCCTGCATCCTCACGTGGGGGCTTAAAACACACATCCTGGGAAGGAAAGGATGCTGACGAAAGACCATGGTAACGGTGTTCATCTACTTGAAGGAAACATCAAATGTGTGGCTCTGGATTCCTCACGGTGTAAATATCCTCCTTCCAGAAAGGCTTTCTTTAAATAGTAACCTCCCTAACTATATTTAAAATGTGATGCAAACCTTATTTACACAGCCGGGACACATCCACACCTGTGCATGGTCATGACTCAGTTGTACTTCCTGCTCATTAGCTTTACAGCAACCTCTAGCATCCCAGACCTCTACCCTTGGTCTGAGTCTGTTGGGACTGCTATAACAAAACACCCCAGACCGGGTGGCTTATCAACCACAAGGATTCATTTCTCACGGGTCTCCGGGCCGGGAAGTCCAAGATCAAGGCTCCAACACAGTCGCGTTCCGGTGAAGGCCCCCTTCCAGGGCCATAGCTAGTGCCTTCTCCCTGTGCCCCAACAGGGTGGAGGCGGTGAGGGGCCTCTCTGGGGTCACGTCTATAAAGACACAAATTCCATTTACAAAGCCTCCACCCTCAGGACCGAATCACTCCACAAAGCCC